GGGGTTTCACCATGTTGACCAGGATGGTCTCGATCTCTTGACCTCGTGATCCACCCGCCTCGGCCTCCCAAAGTGCTGGGATTACAGGCTTGAGCCACCGCGCCCGGCCTGTTTTAATTTGTTATGTGCTCTTTGTATCTTTTCAGGCGATTGGCATGGCTGGAGTTATTATGATTTTGTATTGATTTTGATTTTTCAAGAAAATACAAGATAAACGGCAATAGAACAAAAGAAATGGGTTTTATAGGTTTAATGTCCAGAAATAGATCACCTTAAACTCTTCCCTCAAACTATTACCATGAATGGAATCTGGTACAATCAGTTTAATGTATAAAATGAGGAAATAGAAAGTTTTAAGCAGAGTAGTAGACTTTATGAAATTGTACTGCCCTTATGTTTTCTTTCTGATCTGACACTGATTGGTCAGTTGTGTCACTCATTCAACTCTAGCTATAGAAAGTAGTAGGAGTTGGTACCAGTGATTACTAGGCCACTTAATCTCGAAACTTAAAAATAAATCTTTCCTTACTTTCCAGACTGATAACTTATTCCATATGATGTTTTTCCAAGACTCTTTCAGTCACAGGTAAAATTAAGCAAAGCCTGAAAACATTTAGATCAAGCAAAATAAGGCATAATCATTATATCAAGCTAAAGTTACTTGTTTTCAATAGAAGAAAAAAAATACTTAATGCTAAACACTGTTGTTCAGTTAACTTTACTGACAACATTACTACTTTGGGTTAGGGGTGAGCAAAATTTTTCTGTAAAGAGCAAGATTTATAGAAAATATGTATGTGAAATATTCATAGTTTCTGTTATATATTTTAAATATTTTAATTTTTTAAATGTAAAAATGATTCTTAGCTTCAGGGCTGAAAAAAACCAACCTTGGGCTGGGTTTTGGCAGTAACTTGCTGACCCCTGCTATAGATGATCCACTGGAAAATACTACTTAAACTTACTGCACCCAGGACCCCAAATAGGATTCAAACAGAGAGTATTGGTCACTTCTTGAAAGAAAGGGGCTTTTGTATTGTATAAGACATCATCTATGCTTCTTGTTAAAAATACTATAGCTCAGATAAAGACAAGAAAACAATGCTGTATATGTGTATAAAATTTTTCTAAACCACAACTTTTTAAAGCTGAATGATATATGACAACTTCTTGAAAGAACAGAAATTCTTAACTTGGAGACCATGGAGTTGATAGGCTCTTTAAAGGGAGTCTATGTGGCCCCCAAATTTGTATATAAAATTTTAGATACCTACACTTTTCTGTGGAGTGGATCTATAAAATTTCTGTGACCCCAAAGGTTAATAACCCACTGTTGAAGTCCTTTTAATTAGTCACCCCACACATGAAAAAATAATACATCTCTTGTTTTTTATCAGTTAATGACAAGCAGTGTCGTGAGGTTTTGTAGGAATGAAGGCTTAGTCAGGCAGTAATAGATAGGCATAGGAGGCTGTCAGTCTTTGTCTAGAGATTGAATAGCCATGTACTTGTAAGCAGTACAGTTGCCGATAGGTGTGCTGCAGACAAACAAGCAAAAGCAGGTACAGAAGAGACCAGGTTGGTATCTCGGATTAAGTCACAAAGCAGAGGGATGGCAGGAACAAATGACCAGGTTTAAGGTAGCTCAGACAAACTTATACCTGGGGTTTGGTTGTGGTCACTGCCAACTCTTTGGTATCGAGTCATATGCAAGATGGTTCTCATGTCATGTTTGTCCTCTTCAGGCCACCTTGAATTCTTCCTAATTAATGGCATCAGACAAGCGTTTTTTTTGTTTTTTTTTTCTTTAATTGTAGTAAAGTACACATGATATAAAATTTATCATTTACCATTTTAACCATTTTTAAATGTACAGTTTGGTAGCATTAAATATATTCTTATTGTGCTACCATCACTACCACCTATGAATAGCATTCTTCCTCTTACAAAACTGAAACCGTACCCATTTAACAGTAACTCCATTTCCATCCCCCCAACCCCCTTGCAACTATCATTCTACTTTCTGTTTATGAATTGAACTATTCTAGGTACCTCATATCACTAAAGTAATATAATATTTGTCTTTTTCTGTCTAACGTAATGTCCTCAAGGTTCATCCATGTTCTAGAATGCATTGGAACTTTCTTTTTAAGGCTGAATTATACAAACATTTTGTTTGTCCATTTATCAATTGATGGACAGTTGAGTTGCTTCCACATTTTAACTATTGCGAATAATGCTGCTATGAACATGGTTGTACAAATATCTCTTCAGTCCGCAGCTCTCAGCTCTTTTGGATATATACCCAGAAGTGGAATTGCTGGATCATATGGTAGTTCTTTTTTAAATTTTTTGGTTAACTGCATACTGTTTTCCATAGTGGCACTATAATTTTACATTCCCACCAACAGTGTGCACAGGTTCCACTTCATCCATATCCTCACCAACACTTTTTTTGTGTTTTTTTGATAGCAGCCATCTGAATGAACGTGGGTTGATGAACTGGGTTTTTAAAGAAAATGTGAAGTGCTGGAGAATGTCTTGTAGTCTAGTCACAGTAAATAATCACGCAGATGGACAGATTGCTTTTTTGGCATGCCAACAGAAAGAGTAATTAGTTGGTCACTTGTAGCAAATGCCAAGTATCAGTAATTTTTCTGTGTATAGTATTAAATTTGCTTTTTAAATTTTTTATTTCAAGCATTTTCTCTCAGCCTAAAATTCGATGTTTTTAATTAGTTTACGTTAGTTGCGTTTTTCAAAGTCTATTTTAGACAAGATTTGAGTTGTGTATGTGTGTGTAATATTTCCCCTAACATAGGCAAAACAGGGTTTTCACTGAGTTCATTAGTGAACTACTAAACGTTCATATTCTATTTGGAGATTTGGAGGATTAATAAATACAACTGTTAACAGTTGTAGAAGAGCATTT